ACATTTTGCTCTCTGCGCTCAACTGTAGTGTGTGGGTTTTAATTACCTGGCTCTTCTATATCGTAAGGAAATGCAGTCATCTCGGAGCATCCTCAGGAATGGTCCATTTTGATTCAAATGAGCTTTGGGATTGCTCCTGCCTCCCTTTTATTTGATCTAGAAAGGGCACAGACTGTACCTGTTTCCACCTCCGTGCTAGGATTTCTTTTTCTCTTCGGTTTGTGTTCTGTGCTCTAACATCCCTTGTTCTTAACTGTTTGTGAAGCTTTTTTAGCAGCCCTGTATCCTAATCGTTTCTCTCTGTTCTGCAGGAGGCCAGGAATTCTGGTGCTCATCAACAACGCAGACTGGGAACTAATGGTCTGTTCTCCTTCGGTTTGACTTTCTTTGTTGAAAATACTGCTCTGCCTGTTCTGCGGTTGCTCTCGGAGAAGCCATTTCCGATTCTTGCCCCAAGCGAAGCATCTCATGTTTGAGGGGGAAGGGGCGGGCTGGGATCTCTCTCCCTGTGTTCTGCAGTGGCTGTGCGGAGGCCCGGAGCCTTTCTCTAACCTGCTGAGTCTCATCAGCCAGCCAGTGTCTGACTAGAGATCGCCCGTCTTCCCTGGCTTGTGGCAACGGGCTTCACACCTCTGGCTGCCAGCGGGTCCCCCCGACATATGGGGGCCCAGCTCTGGGGGTGCCAGGCAGCCTCACAGACCCCAGCAGAGCCCCTGCACTAGAGGAAGGTGATGCTGCTGCAGGGGAAGGCAGCCCTGGGGAGATTTCTGCCCAAACAGGCAACTGGGAAATACCTTCCCTTTTCAGCCCCTGTTGCACTCAGACAACAAACAGCCCCGATCTATTTTCCTGCCTCAGGCAATGACCTGTTCTGTCAAAAGCCAGGTCCAGAAAGTGGTGTGGTGTAACGAACGTCAGCTCCCTGTCTGATCTCTCACCTTTGCTTCCGATAGGATGAAAACATCAGTCTCTCCCCTTCTGCTCTCCCTAACACTCACCTTCTTTTTATGAGCTGTTTTCTCTTTGCAGCTAGTATTTGGAAATGACATTTAAACCTTTTTTTTCTTTTCTTGGTCTGCAGGGTGAGCTGGATTATAAACTCCAGGACCAGGATAATGTGCTTTTCATCTCGACATTGCACGGCGGATGAACTCCTGGAAAAAACAAGTGGATGTAAATCAAAATCCCTGGACAAAACCCCCAAACCTAACCCACCCAAACCTCTATTGAACTGCTTATGCCCGGTCTATGCGCCTTCTCACTGCGTTCACTTGTTTCTAGACATCCAAATAAAGCCTTGGCGGCGTGCAGCCTGCTGCCCCACAACAGCGTCCATCTTTTGATCCTCATTTCACCTCTCCTGACCACACTTCCAGGTACCCTAACGAGCAGAGAACACCTGCAGCACGTGTGACTTTGTTTTTCCATGGCAGGAGCAAGAGGGGGTGCTGAACCTTGAGTAGGACGATGTCTCTTTTGCAGGCAGTGAGGCATTCCAGGGAAGTTGTGCCCGCTTTGGGGCAAGGCTGAGGTGCTTCTGCCTTGCTGCTGGGAACTGGGCTTCTTTTAACACAATACTTTGCGCTGATGCAGTCTGCACACTGGCCATGGGAAGGGTGAGACATGAAGCGCAAGGAGACAAAAGGTTACTGGCTTTTCTGTGAGGTAGAGGACATTACAGCTTCAGAGCCCTCTGTCGTGACGTTCTGCTTGCCGTGATATTGTTTTTATGGGGAGTAGGACAGAAAGAAGCTTTTTTAGTTTTGTTTTTCTGACACCTTATGCCTCTTTCATACCTGAGCTGAGGCAGGGTGAAGCACTACCCCGTGAACAATGCCAATTTGTAACCGTTTGGTTGCGGGGCAAAGAAACCCATGCCTGGCCTGAGACAGCATGGAGTGATAAGGGCAGCAAATTAACTTTCTGTCACCGTGATGGACAGAATTGATCAGGCTGCGTTGTGTTCTGTGCAGGTGGGGTGCAGTGGGGAGCTGCATTGCTGCTGCCTGGTGCGGGGAAGGGCTGGGACTGGTGATGCAGGGCTAGAGGCCCCGGAAAGAAAGTCGGTGGTTTTTTAACCCTTTCCATCACTGGGATGGGGAGGCTTCTTACTGCGTGCCCTGAGGAAGTCCTGTCAGCACAGCGGAAGTGGGTGTGCACGGCTCTGCTAGGGCACAGACGCTGTTCGCTTTCCAGAAGTTTCCTTGTCTCGTCTGCCAGCCCAAGAGGCTGGGATGAGAGCAGAGGGAAGGGGTCGGAGAGGACGGCGTCAGCACCAACAG